TATTATTATCATCATCATTAATATTTTTATAACCATTCTGATTTTCATTATCGTAATTGTTAATATCATCATCATTAAAATCATTATTATTATCTTCGCTATTATAATAATTATTATCACCATGATCATTCTCACTTGTACTATTATTATTATTATCACCATCATAATCTCCGTCATCACCATCATAATCACAATGATCATAATTTTCAATGTCATTATCATAATTAACATCGTAGTTTTAATTATTATTATTAATATCATCTTCATAAACGTTATTGTTAACATGACGTTATTATTGTTATCATAATTTTGATAATTCTCGACATCTTTATCATCATGATCATTCTTATTGTTATAATNATATTCACACACTTATTATTTATATCATTGCTATTATTAGTTTCCATTCACTATTCATTTAATTTTGCAATTTCAGGCATATCAACGAATAAAAATCTAAGCACAATAAATTACTATGCGTATCGTCTGACGATTTGTACACATAAGGAGAATGTTATTCTGAATTGTGTTGGCTATTCCAGCAATTCACTGTTGACATGTACGTCAAAGTCGAGACTGAACTACTATTCATTCGGATGGTGATGTTCAGAATATTAGATGTCTGACGATTCTCCTATCATCTTATATCGGAAGCCCACGCCACATGCACGAATACGCTCAAGACGCTGTGACGTATGTGCAAAACTATGGAACTCCAGATTTATTCATTACGTTCACATGCAATCCGAAGTGGACGGAAATTGAACGTGAGTTGGAACCAGGCCAAAATCCACAAGATCGCCATGACATAATCACCAGAGTATTTCAACAAAAACTCAAGGTTATGATTGATGTGCTTACTAAGTATCAAGTTTTTGGTGACACACGTTGTAATATGTACTCAGTGGAATGGCAGAGGCGTGGACTACCGCATGCTCATACCGTAATTTGGTTGCAGAACAAATAACATTCAAATGTAGGTAATGACATTATATTAGCTGAAATTCCTGATCCAGTCACTGATTCCCATCAACACGACATTCTGACGACACAGATGTTGCATAGACCGTGCAATGCATTTAATCCATTATCACCTTGCATGGCTGATGAAAAGTGCACAAAACGATATCTACGACCGTTAGTTGCTAAAACAGTCACAGGGAACCATGGATATCCAGTTTATCGTTGGCGTTCAAAAGAAGATAATGGTCGAACTATCAAAGTTAAAGTTCAAAATCAAGAGGTAGAGATCGGAAATAAATTCATTGTACCATATTGCCCACTGCTATCACGAATTTTCGAAACATATGCAAACGTTAAGAGTTGTCATTCGGCCAAATTAATCAAATATCTGTGCAAGTACGTCACAAAAGGTAGCGACATGGCCGTGTTTGGTATTGCATCGAAAAATGCGAATGACAAAATCAGTAACTTCTAAATGGGCAGATACGTCAGTACTTATGAGGCACTGTGGCTATTATTGTCATTTCAAATTCATGAAAAATATTAACAGTTGTATATTTAGCAGTGCATTTGGAAAATAGCCAAAGAGTTTACTTCACTAAGGCTAATGCGGCACAACGTGCTGAGAGACCACTATCGATAACATTGACTAGCTTCTTTGCAATTGGTGAAGCAGATCCATTCGCAGCAACGCTGATATACGTTGAAATGCCTAAGCATTACACTTGGAATCAATCAACAAAGAAATTCCAACGTCGCAAACAAGGAAGCACAGTTCCAGATTGGCCACAGGTGTTTTCCACTGATGCACTAGGTCGCATGTATACTGTTCATCCTAGAAATGATGAATGTTTTCATTTGCGACTGCTGTTGGTAAATGTACGTGGACCAAAATAATTTGCGCATTTAAGAACTATCAATTTTATCATTATAATTAACATCCCTATTATAATCCTTAGTGTCAAGATTATGGTTATTAATATCTTAATTTTCATCACTATCATTAATTTACCATCATTATTATAATTATTTGTAACACAATGATCTTTATGATTTTTGTCATTGTCATCCTTAGCATTATCTTAATTATTTTTATAGTCATCTCCATTGACGTTGTTATTATCATTTCTCTAAAAATTATTACCATCGCCATGAATATTATGATCAGCATTGTGATTATCGTCATTTNATTTTTCTTATTATAATGGTTTTTATTATTATCATCATCAACTACGTAATTATTACTATGATTATCATTATCATTATCATTATTAACATAATTTGTATCACTATATCCTACTAATTGTTTACATTAAAATAATCTTTATTGTCATCATCATCATCATTGTCATGATTATTATAATTATTCTTATCATTATCATTATCAACATAATTTGTATCACTATATCCTACTAATTGTTTATATTAAAAGAATTTTTATTGTCATTATTATAGTCATTGTCATGATTATTATAATTGTTGTTATAATTATNAAATCATTAGTGTATAAAAATAAGTCGGACTTTTCTTACTGACAATAAAACTCTAGAACGCACCAACCAATTTTTACGGTTTTGCATTTGTTAAAAAGGTTCCAGGCTTCATGAGGTTTTTAGCAAAGGAAATTCAATAACTATTATTTTTGTTAAAATCATGATTAAAATTACCATTATAATCTTGATTTATAAAAATAAGTCGGACTTTCCTTACTGACAATAAAACTCTAGAACGCACCAATCGATTTTTACGGTTTTGCATTTGTTGGAAAGGTTCTGGGCTTCGTGAGGTTTTTAGCAAAGGAAATTCAACAAAAATTTCTAATAGAAAAGCGGGAAAGTCTTTTTTCACATACAGCGCCATATCTGATACATAGCATGTACTAAAATCCAATATTTTAAGTAGATGGCGCCGATGCGTGATGCATTGTTAGATAGCTCTTTATTGTTCTCTGCTCAGCTAATTTTATGTGACAAACCGGTATTGGGTTTACTGTGAAATTGTGAGAAAAAAGTTAAAAAAAAAGTTATCTGTTTCCTCACATTTTAATTGGAAACCATTAAATCAATTAAGTGTATTGTGCAAATTTTTATTTAATTTTAACAGCAGGCATTTGTCTTTAAGGTGGTAAGTTGAACTGTGGAAATTATGTGGATCGTGCATTTGAGGTTAAATTCACCACTCTGTCCTTTGTCTAATATACCTAGAGGACGACGTGCAAACATTGGCTGCCGTACAAGACATGCAAGCCAGCAACAAGCGCCTTTACAGAATTCAAGCAAAGAAAGACAAAACATAATAAGAGCAAATGCCCGATTGAGACAACGCGTGAGCACACGAAGATCATTGGCATCATACAATCGCTTGGCATTTCAATATGATTCCACTGCAAACTACAGTGATAATAATAATTTAGATATTGGACTAATGAAGACTATATGCCGATTTTGCAATGCTTTAAAGTTCAAAAAAGAAACGGCTGGATTGTGCTGCACAAGTGGAAAAGTCAAACTGAATCCATTACTTACACCACCACAGCTACTTAAACCATTGTTCGATGGAAGTGATCCCGATTCCAGCCATTTTATGACAAATATATTATTTGCATAGTTCAATGGTGCCAACACCAGATGAGCCGCATCAATTTCTGCAAATATATTTTATTTCGTCGATTCGATCAGCTGAATGTGCGGTGCAATATACAGGAAACACAACTGTCAAAGAGAGGAATTATAGAACAGTTGCAAGCATTTTTTCACGCTAATAATGCTGTGGTTAATATGTTCAAAACAGCATTGGAACGAATGCCATCAGATACGCACAAATTTGTCATAAGAGCGGATTGTACCCCAACAGGTGAACATGTGCGAAGATTCAATGCACCCATCGTCAATGATGTTGCTGCAATTATTGTTGGCGATCCAACTAAATCGCGAGACATTATCGTTCAGCAAAGAAGCAATATCATGCATCGTGTAACAATATCCAATGCGTCACAATATCCAGTCATTTATTGGCAAAGGAAAGACGGATACGACATTACGTTGAAGATAGTCGATCTAATTACAGGTACAATATTCACACACTTATTATTTATATCATTGCTATTATTAGTTTCCATTCACTATTCATTTAATTTTGCAATTTCAGGCATATCAACGAATAAAAATCTAAGCACAATAAATTACTATGCGTATCGTCTGACGATTTGTACACATAAGGAGAATGTTATTCTGAATTGTGTTGGCTATTCCAGCAATTCACTGTTGACATGTACGTCAAAGTCGAGACTGAACTACTATTCATTCGGATGGTGATGTTCAGAATATTAGATGTCTGACGATTCTCCTATCATCTTATATCGGAAGCCCACGCCACATGCACGAATACGCTCAAGACGCTGTGACGTATGTGCAAAACTATGGAACTCCAGATTTATTCATTACGTTCACATGCAATCCGAAGTGGACGGAAATTGAACGTGAGTTGGAACCAGGCCAAAATCCACAAGATCGCCATGACATAATCACCAGAGTATTTCAACAAAAACTCAAGGTTATGATTGATGTGCTTACTAAGTATCAAGTTTTTGGTGACACACGTTGTAATATGTACTCAGTGGAATGGCAGAGGCGTGGACTACCGCATGCTCATACCGTAATTTGGTTGCAGAACAAATAACATTCAAATGTAGGTAATGACATTATATTAGCTGAAATTCCTGATCCAGTCACTGATTCCCATCAACACGACATTCTGACGACACAGATGTTGCATAGACCGTGCAATGCATTTAATCCATTATCACCTTGCATGGCTGATGAAAAGTGCACAAAACGATATCTACGACCGTTAGTTGCTAAAACAGTCACAGGGAACCATGGATATCCAGTTTATCGTTGGCGTTCAAAAGAAGATAATGGTCGAACTATCAAAGTTAAAGTTCAAAATCAAGAGGTAGAGATCGGAAATAAATTCATTGTACCATATTGCCCACTGCTATCACGAATTTTCGAAACATATGCAAACGTTAAGAGTTGTCATTCGGCCAAATTAATCAAATATCTGTGCAAGTACGTCACAAAAGGTAGCGACATGGCCGTGTTTGGTATTGCATCGAAAAATGCGAATGACAAAATCAGTAACTTCTAAATGGGCAGATACGTCAGTACTTATGAGGCACTGTGGCTATTATTGTCATTTCAAATTCATGAAAAATATTAACAGTTGTATATTTAGCAGTGCATTTGGAAAATAGCCAAAGAGTTTACTTCACTAAGGCTAATGCGGCACAACGTGCTGAGAGACCACTATCGATAACATTGACTAGCTTCTTTGCAATTGGTGAAGCAGATCCATTCGCAGCAACGCTGATATACGTTGAAATGCCTAAGCATTACACTTGGAATCAATCAACAAAGAAATTCCAACGTCGCAAACAAGGAAGCACAGTTCCAGATTGGCCACAGGTGTTTTCCACTGATGCACTAGGTCGCATGTATACTGTTCATCCTAGAAATGATGAATGTTTTCATTTGCGACTGCTGTTGGTAAATGTACGTGGACCAAAATCATTTGCGCATTTAAGAACTATGAATGGCCACCAATGCCAAACATATCGAGAAGCATGTCAACTATTGGGTTTGCTGGAGAACGATTCTCATTGGGATTTAACACTTGCGAATTCAGTTGTTTCATCAAATGCGTACTAAATACAAACGCTGTTCGCAATTATCATCACCACATGTTTTCCTTCACAACCATTTCAGTTATGGAATAAATACAAAGACGACATTTGTGAAGATATCTTGCATCGCTTGCGCAATCAAACGAATAATCCTGACATCCAAATAACTGATGAAATCTACAATGAAAGATTAATTCTGATTAAGGATCAATGCTTAACTACTGCAAACATGCTACTGATTAAAGTAGCAATGATTGCGCCAAATCGATCGATGCGCGATGCATTCAACCAAGAATTAAATCGAGAGCTGAGATATAATGTTGATACATTGCAGGAATTCGTTCAAAATAAAGTGCCGTTGTTGAATGAACAGCAAAAACAAGTATACGAAACATTTATGCAAGCGGTGGACAATAATACTGGTGGTGTATTCTTGCTGGATGCACCTGGAGGAACAGGAAAAACATTTGTCATTTCATTGATTTTGGCCACTATTCGATCAAGATGTGACATAGCTTTGGCGGTAGGATCATCTGGAATTGCGGCGACTCTTCTAGGTGGCGGTCGTACTGCACATTCTGCGCTTAAGTTGACACTTAATTTAAACACAATTAATACTCTAACATGCAATATTTCCCGATCCACTGCAATGGGAAAATTGTTGATGCAATGCAAGCTCATTGTTTGGGATGAGTGCACAATGGCACATAATAAATCACTTGAAGCACTTAACTTCACACTGAAGGATCTTCGGCGAAATAACAACATCCTTGGCGGCTTGATGATTTTGTTAGCAGGCCATTTCAGGCAGACGTTGCCAGTAATTCCCCATGGAACGCTTACAGATAAATTGAATGCTTGCCTGAAGGCATCACCTTTATGGAATAACGTAAAAACATAATCGCTAATCACTAATATGAGAGTTTAACTTTAAAATAATCAAAGTGCTGCGCAATTTTCCAAACAATTGTTAGCTGTTGGAAATGAAAAAGTCCCAGTTGATGCGACATCTGGATTAATAACTCTTACCGAAGACTTTTGCTGATTTGTAGACTGTAAATAAGCACTTATTGAAAATGTTTTTCCAAACACTAGTGAGAATTATCAGAATTATACTTCCTTAATTCAACGAGCAATTCTCGCCGCAAAGAATAATGATGTACATGCACTAAATTTCACCATTTAATCCAAAATTGCTGGCGATTTGGTGATATACAAATCCGTTGATTCCATAACAAATTCCGAAAATGTAGTAAATTATCCAACGGAGTTTTTTAACTTTCTAGGGTTACCAGGATTGACACCACATAACTTGCAACTCAGAGTTGGTACAGTTATTATGATATTGCGTAATTTGAATCCACCACCACTTTGCAACGGTACTCAACTTTCAGTAAAAAGACTTATGCCAAATTTGATTAAAGCAACCATTATTAACGGTTAAAACGCAGATAAAAATGTATGTATTCCTTGAATATCAATGATTCCGACTTATCTTCCGTTTGACTTCTAACATTTGCAATTTTCAGTTTGCCTTACGTTTGCAATGACAATTAACAAGTCACAAGGCCAATCGCTTAGTGTTTGCGGGATGAATTTGAAAAATCATTGTTTTTCACATGGGCAGTTATACTTTGTTTGTTCACAAGTAAGGAAACCATCCGCTTTGTCAGTAATAACGTCAGACTAAAAAACTAAAAATGTAGTTTACTTAAACAAACTTCAATAAAACGGATGATTTATGGACACGTGTAGCGCTTCGATTCAGTATTAACTTTGGATTCACTTCCATTTACCTAGAGGAGTTCAACTTAATAACAACTCATTTTTTAAATCGAAATAAATTCATAACTGTTTTTAAATAAAATAAAACTTTTTCTTTTTAAATATAGAAAGAAAAAAAAATTTCTTCATCTTTTAATCGACAAACAAAAAAATAAAAAAAACAAAGCCATCTAGTAACGAAGGGGACTTCGCCAGGTTTGCTTGTCAATGAAATAACTATCATTATCAATATTATCATGATAGTTATTATCATCGTCATTATCATTATCAATATCATCATAATACTTAACATCACCATCATTATTATTATTATTATCAGTATTATTGATATTATTGTTTTAATTATTATGGTCATCATTTGAGCATCGTAATCATTATTATTTTTAACACTATTATCATCATCTTTACCGTCATCGTCGACCTTACCATCATCATAATAATTATCATTATCATTGTTATCGTCATTGTTATCATCATTTTTATCATTATAACGATTATTATTATTGCTATCTTTAATATCAGTAGTATCATAATCATTATCATCGTCTTGTTACTATTGTCATCATCATTATGATCATCTATTATTATCATCAATATCATAATTATTATCATTGTCATCGTCATTACTCTAATAATAGGCATCATTGTCATAATTGTTATGATCAGCATTTTCATAATCGTCATTTTTATTATTTTTATTCTTATTGAAATAATCATTCTTGAAATAATCTTTATTATCATGATAATAATTATCATTCTTATTATCAACATCATCATTGTTATAATCCTCATCATCATACTCATTATCATTATCATCATCATCATCACCATCATCATCATTGTTATTATAATCTTTAACATTATTTCTATAATTATAACCATTATCAAAATTATCATGATCATCATCATTATCACTATCATTATCATTACCATCGTCATCATCGTCATCATCATCATCATCACGATTATCATTATTATTATAATCATAATTATCATTATCAACAGTATCATCAGCATTATCATTATTATAAGTATCTTCATTATTATCAACATTATTAGTAAGACTGTCATCTTTATAATATTCTCCATTAAAATTATCATCATTGACATTATCATCATCACCATTATCATTATAATTATTATGATAACCATTTTTGAATTTATTATTCTTGCAATACTCATTAACATCATAATTGTTATCATAATTAATATTATTATAATCGTTATTATTATGTTTATAATTATCATTATTATTATCATCATCATGACCATTCTTATCTTTGATCTAATTATAGTAATCATCTTTATCATAATAACTATCATAGTCATTATAACTATTATCATTATAATCATCTCTATAATACTATTATCTCTAATTTCTATCATCATTATTATCAATATTATCATTATCATCGTTCTTGTCTTTACAATTTTTCTCATTATCATAAGTATTATAAGTACTGCTATCATCATGATTATCATTAATATCATCATTATCGTTATCATCATCATTATTAGCAACATTCTTATGAAGATCATCCTAATAATTGTTTTTATTTCAATAATGCTCAACATTATAACTATGATCTTCATTATTATCATCATAAGTATAGTTTTAATCATTATTATTATTACCATGATACTCATCATCATCATTATCTTTATAAATATTGTTTTCAAAATTAACACAACCATTATTATTATTATTATTAATTTTATCATTGGTATTGTGTATGATACATAAGTCGCGAATATTTCGGGTGTGACGGAATTTCGGTGTTGTAAGCTGCATAAGCTCGTGTTTTTTTTTTTTTTTTTTT